GCTCGCAGGAAACACAATAGTTTCGGCGTGCATTCCGAATACCCCCCCACCCACAAATATTAAACATCCGAAACACGTGCTGTCTACAAATCGGGACACAGAATGGCAAAGGTCAAGATCGCACTTTAATTGCACATTATATAGGGTTACGTAACGCCGGTGTTGATAATCACAATAATAGACATTCTGATCGATTGCTCCAGATTTTTGTTTTGTTTTGTCCGAGTGGAATTCCGGTTTTATTGGAAAAATATAGCCGCCTGGCGGCCTTCCAAAATTATTCCTACGAAAGCACACAATAGCTGCACTTCACGTACCGTACTTTTCACTATACCGGGTCACCCAGAATCAATCTACCGACCCCTGAATTTTTTTTTAAATTGATTCGGCCGTTACTTGATGGAAATCCATAGCAAATGTAAAAAATTCACTAACACATTAGCTTCATCAGGTGAAATACTGGTACAATGAAATAAACTAACCGTGGCTTGCCTAACTTCTATATATCATACTTTTCCAACCTGAAGGATGAGAATTACCTGTGAAAAGGTTCGATAAACCTTCATTTTCGGAAAATAGATACAATATCTACATTAAAATAGGGTGCACTGGATTAACTTGGGAGGGTTGATAGCAAATACATATTATTACCTACTAAGAAAACAAATTCAACAGTGGTAAACTATTGAGGTTTAGATGATCGTTAAGTAAAATGTTCCGAATTTTCGAGTTTGTTGATTTTTAATGATTCAAAATGATTTGAGTCTTATCCCTTTAATTTCTACGTGTATAATTTTGAAATTATCATCAAAACTATGGTTTTCTTCTAATATATGGTTGGCATAATGTTGAATTTGTTTTCTTTTTCAAAAAATTCATCTTATGTTCATGAATACGCTGATTAAACGTACGACCTGTCTGACCGATATATACCTTAGGACAAGATCCACAGTTTAGTTTGTATGCCCTTTCGAATATAGAAGTTTTGTCTCAATTATTTTTGATAAACCTTCCCAACGTGTTAATAGATATGCCTAAAAAGCCGAATTTTGAAGAGATATAGGAATACAAAAGACACTTTCTCATTGCCACTTTTTAAGTTCTATAAAACAGCGTTGAGAGGTTTCCCGTACAATGTTTCGTTTCGGGGAAACCATCATCAACTTAATTTTTTTACAAAATTCATTATTTCAGAAATGGGCGACATTTGAAGAAATTCCAAAAACACGTGAGTTTTAATTTTTGAAACCTCATCTCATGACATTCATATGAGAGATGTTACGACACCGGTGTTGGAGTAATGACGTAATGGACGGTTTTTTTAAATACAAACAGGGGTCATGTGACACCTCGTTTGAAAGGTCTACTGATCGTCTATCCAATAGTCAAAATTTTGCAGAAGAAGATTGAAATTAAAATGGATTATCATTTGGTTAACTGAATCTTGCAGAGATCTTCTACTGAGAATTGAACATCGAAGGGTCGTCTAGTTGAAAAAATACATCGATAAAAAAGTTCTGAACTCTACTTTTTGGATTTTTTTCGGAAGTCGTCTTGATTTGAAATGAATTTATTCCATACATTTGCATCATACTGTATATGGCCGATAAACAAGCGAGAAAAAAGTATACCCCTTATAAATCTCTTAAGGCTAAAAATTAGATATTTTTTTCTGCGTAGACACACTCCGTTCAAATATCCACTGACAATGAGCAGTCCTTTACGAAGATTGTATAGCGAGTTTATTGAATTTATTTTACCACTGGATTTTACAGCCGTTACTGAAGTTGACGTAAGTTCTATGCAATCCGGCTATGCTTCTCGGTGCATTTGCATTTTACAGGCACAGGCTTCTTTGTGAATAAATCTTACCGTTATATCTAACGCTTTGTTGCATCGAAAACACTTTTCCTCGTCTCCTTGTGCCTTTTCATTCGGCAAAACATCCGTTTATCATTCAGTCTCGATTTAACATTTTCCGGACTCGAATACGGAATAATCAGATCAGGGCGATATTAATGCTAAATATGAAGGAATCTACTGTTAGTATTTACTGTTTCACTGTTTCGAATCAGAATTTCGAAATAAAACTACAGCTACACATTCCAGAAGTCCTATGTATTGCATCAAAAACAATCTCTGCGCTGTCATGTTTTCAATACAGTTCGAGTTATTAGGCCTGAAAATATCATTAGGTAGGGTCATGAAATGGATATATCCGAGGAAATATCTGAAATTTTTTCGCGTCAGTCATCCATAGTCATGATTTTTGGTCCACATCAACATTTTCACCCATTTTCAACGAAATCCTTTGGCCAGACCGAGTAACTCGAGCAGTTTTTCAGTTACTTTAATTTCCGCTATTCAAATAGGTATTTTATTGAAAGTTCTGAATCTGAATTCCAGGGTTTTACAGGACATTTTGTTATCGAAATTGTTTTAGTATTTGACTTGAATATGTCAATAAGACCGACGAAGAAGCACACAGCCGGAAGTCGATATGTCAAACGTATTTCGGATTCCCGGCATTTTACGATATCTTAGACTCAATTTCAATTTCAATATTCCATCGATAGGGAATTTCAGTGCATCACTCAACATTTCTACCTAGGTATGTGTTAATAGTAATTATCACAGGAACTGAAGGAAGGGACAATAAGTACGTGAGAGAAAATTGTGGATAGTAAAATAGTATAGATATAGATAGGTACTCCTTCAGTTCTGAGGCTATCATTCTCTCATAATTTCTCGAATAAAATGATAAATTCTCCAGTATGATGATCATTATATTCATCTCTTAACGACTTTTCGAATGTATTGATGTATTTTCGAATGAATTTTGGATGAATTATTTGTATTCACATTCACATTCTGAATGGATTTTTGACGGTGGCAATACATTCTCGAATGAATTTACAATTTTATCAATACATTCTCGAATGTGCTAATCAATTTTCGAATGTATATTGTCACGAGTAGAACATACGGTATATCAGTAATTTCGAACCATGAGGGTTTTATAAACATAAAATTAATCAAATCATCCGTTGAAATTGAATTATAAAAACTGACCAAGGAACTCTCATGAGAAACGTGCATATCTAATAAAATGATGTATATAAATATGGGTTGTGAGGGTTCCGAAATTAGTCTGGTCTGGGGCTACTCTTGACTTGACAAGAGCTCGTCGTGATGGTCATTATAATGTAAGTTGTTATTAGGTCTTTATATTCATTGTTGATCATTCATATTTGTCATTGCTACCCATAATGTTTCATGCTATTATAAATATTGTTATGTTTGAATGTCGTCTCGTACTTTTAGTTACCCCTAAACTATTAGTGCCTATTCGAATATTACCTCTCGCAAACTATTAAGCCAAGCATTACTCATCATAAATCGATATGGGTAGATGAACCATCCATTATATCGTGACATGGTGGAAACACAACTCTTCTGTTGTCTTATTTTAAGTATTGAATATAAAAATGTGTTTATATGGGGCATCTTGCCAGGATTTGCGAACTGTCCAGCATGCTAAAACTGGACTGCCTCGGTTTGATCTTCAAATGGGGCGTTCCTGGTAGTGCACATAGATAGGCATGCTAAAACCATCTGTACCCATACAAAAACTAAGCCAACTATTTTGTGGTGACAATATTATAATTTTTTTCTCGAATGGGTCGCATTTTTCAGAAAAATTTAATAACTTTTGAACCATCAACACCCTGAATACCTCTTGGTTCTCAAGATGTTCTCTGAATATTAATAGCAAAACTTAGTGATATGGGTATAAATCTTGGTTTGGTAGCATGGATTGAAAGTTTCTTAGTTGGTCGTCAACAGCAGGTGAGGATCAAAAGTTTTTTATCTAACGTAATTCCAGTACTGTCAGGAGTTCCTCAAGGCTCTCATTGTGGACCGTTACTTTTCAATTTGTTTGTCAACGATATTAGCAAATATATTTTTCACTCTGTTTTTACATTATATGCTGATGACTTCAAGATATATAAAGAAATTCAGCATCATATGGATATTGATCTGCTGCAATCTGATTTGAATAACTTCCATGTCTGGTCTAGAGTTAATTACTTGGACCTCAATATTTCAAAGTGTTTTTGTATTACTTTCTCAATGGGTCATAATTATATTGAAAACGCTTATAGAATAAATAACTCGGTATTGAAGAGAGTCAATGAGATAAAGGACTTAGGCATAATATTCGATATTAAACTAACTTTTAGAAGTCATATTACTAAGGTAGTGAACACTGCATCAAGGAACTTAGGTTTTATTACTAGGAACAGTAAACAATTCTCTCCTGAAACACTTAGTTCACTTTATTGCCATCTGGTTAGACCTTCACTTGAGTATGGTTCCATCATTTGGAGGCCTTTTTATCAAATACATATTGATAGTTTAGAGCGAATTCAGAAAAGGTTCCTGAGAACATATTCATATCGCAAGAGTTATCATGTTGCTCATATAAACTACCCAGATATCTTAATGGAGCTTAATCTACTAACTTTAGAAAATCGCAGATTAGTGTTGGATATGTGTTTCCTATATAAATTGGTCAATGGCCTTATTAATTCTCCAGATCTGCTTAGTTTGATTAGATTTAATACATTGACCAGAACAAGAAATCCTCCTTTATTTTCCTTGACTTTTCACTCAACGAATTATGGCAACAATAACCCTATTTCAAGGCTACAAAGGAATTATGTCGTTCTTCAAAATCATTGTGACCTATTCTGTGGCAGTCTAGGTAAATTCAAAACTAATGTTGAGAAAACAATCAGGAATACCTGATTAATATAATAAGTGCTACATTTCTATGAGTGTAATTTTCATTGCTCCTACTATTATTATTCATATTTTTGTTGTAATTTTTTTTATAAAAATGGTGTAACCGTTGAAATAAATAAATAAATAAATAAAAAACATTACAGGATATCGCTTTTCGTGGGAAACAGGAACATACAAAAAAATTGACTCACCGCTGCGTCCGGAGCGTGCGCGTTCGGCGTGGTAGCCGCCGGCGGCCTGGGCGGGAACCCCTGCTGCTGCTGGTGCTGCTGCTGCGGGCTGGGCGGCATCCCCGGCCCGGGCCCTGGGCCGGGCGAATGGCTGGGCGGTTGCGACGGCTGCGGCGACGGCTGGCTGACGGGCACGGGCTGCGCTTGGCCTTGCGCCTGCGCCTGCTGCGAGGAGGGCTGACCCGGGCTGCCCGGCGCGTGGGACGAGGGCGGAGGTGGGCCGCCCGGCCATCCGGAGCGGCCGTCCGAGTAGACGGCCGGGTTGGGTGACGCGCCTGGACCGTATGCGGAGGGCAGCTGGAAAGAGGGAGATAGATATGGCTAGGGTCCCTTCATGGAAATTGACGTTAAAGTCATCTTAACAGGGTACGGACAGAGTACAGACAGATCCTCGTCTCCTCTCACTCTAAAGTGTTTGTGAAACAGTTATATAGTTCCGTACTTATTCAATTCTGGGGATAAACACTAGATTTTTGACATTCGTTGTTTTTTAGGTTATAATGAGGTCACTGGCGTATCATACGTAATTTCCATATGGAATTCCTTGCTCAACTATACCAAGATAGATGAACAATCCTCTAGTTTTAGAGTTTACTACTCCAGCATAATCTTTGCGAGGTAGGAAACATAAAAATTGTACTGAAAGCTTAATATATAATTATTTCGCCAAAAGAGACTGTTCTTAGACTGTATACCAGGGTTGACTAAATTGACTGAATGAATTCTGATTTGAAGCTGAGCAATAGTTTATCTATGAGCTGAATGAGCCGAGCCGTATGATTGCGAAATGGTGGAAACCTCGATGTGGGTATCTAAACTACTGTACTCATATCATGTGTGCTAAATATATTTTCGGAAATCCAACTCGGAGAAAAATTTATGGAGTTACTAATATCACACTATGTATGAAACTTCATCTAGGACGAAAAGTAGGCTGATAAAAATTAATACATAAAATGTGTAGGAAAATAAAGAATAGAATATATACTTTACACTTTACCTGATTTTTCCGTCTGCCTTGAATTACAAGTCATTTTCGAATAATTTGTTGATGAGAGTAACAAAGAAGTAGGTATACGCAGTATAACTTATAGGCACGTTATTTTCGCTCTTGCTTCCTACATATATTTTCTATTTGTGGTAGAGTAATCATTGAACTAATATATCTTTCGTCATATTGGATCCGTCATCTTGAATTTCCCAATTCCCACGAAACAATCATTATCTCCTTCCCTGAAAACTCCCAGATACCAATTTCGAATAGAATCGGATCTTCATTACAAAACTCGTCCACCATATTGGATTCGCCATCTTGAATATCCCAATTTCGAGGAAATAATTATAATCTCCGACCCCGGAAATCCCCCGATACCAATTTTTATTTTTGAATAGAATCATATCATAATTACAAAATTCGTTCGCCATATTGGATCCGCTATCTTGAATTTTCCAATTTTGACAAAAAATCATAAGAGAAATTCGACCCCGAAAACCCCCCGATACCAATCTTCAATAGAATCAGATCATGATTAGAAATTTCTTTGGCTATATATTGGATCCGTCTTTTCCAAGTTTGACGAAACAATCATTATCTCCAACCCCGGAAAACCCCAGTTACCTTCCAATTTTGAATAGAATCGGATCATAATTATAAAACTCGTTCGCCATATATGATATTCCTCAACAAGTAAATACCCTGTACCTCGCCCTGTACATACCTATTATTAAAATGTTGAATGATTTTCTGTAGCGCCCATGGATGTGACGTCTCCAGATCATTGAAAAATAATGCAGCCATGATCTGTCCGTACCCTGTTAAGACGACTTTAACGTCAATTTTCATCTAGGGACCCTAGATATGGCTCTGTGCGGTTTGCAGGGTTGCCAACAGAGTTCACGTAAGAATCTGAATTTGCCATATTCAATGAGAAAAGCACGAAGTCATCTCCACGACTTTTTAGTTAGTAAACATCAAATTACGAACAAGTTTCGGACATATGTAATGGCAAATCTTCAGCCTATACAACAAGTCATGGGAAGGAAAAAGGCGGTCAAAATTGTGTACACCAAACTTCAATTTCACTAGCAATTCCAAGGAATTTCAAGGAATTCCAGTTGTTTGTACACCAGAATTATACCGCACTTCACACAAGGAATTCCAAAAAATTCCAAGAAAATCCAAGGAATTCCAAGGGAATCCAAGGAATTCCAAGGAAATCCAAGGAATTCCTAGGAAATCTAAGGAATTCCAAGGAAATCCAAGGAATTCCAAGGAAATCCAAGGAATTCCTAGGACATCCAAGGAATTCCTAGGACACCCAAGGAATTCCAGTTCTTTGTACACCAGAATTATACCGCACTTCACTCAGAGAATTCCGAGGAAACCCAAAAAATTCCAAGGAACTCCAGTTGTTTGTAGCCCCGCGGAATAAACCGCATTTTAACCAAGGAATTCCAGAGAATTACAAAGAAATCCAAGGAATTCCAAGGAAATTCAATTAATTTCAAGAAAATCCAGGGAATGCCAAGGAAATCCAACGAATTCCAAGGAATTCCAGATGTTTGTACATCAAAATTTCCCTCGGAAAAAGGTTGTGTTACATTTTAGAAAAAATAGTAATGAAATAATAGGGTTTTTTCAACGGGTCCCGACCCCCAAAAAGGGACAAATTAAGGAGGAAGACAGTGTGACTCAACAACCAGCACACAATAAATTTGCCCTATTTAAAAAATCCACAGGAAACCGCTAAATTCAAATGGACGTGGCAGTTCAATGTTTGATTTTTTGATCGTAATAAAAAAAATCGTGGTAATAATAATTATTATTAGGGTCATGAAGGCATAACGCATAAATGGAATGTTTGAATTAAATGAGAAAAGTGCATCCCTTGCAAAAATCAAATGACATATAGGAGAAGTCACAACAAGACTTCGAACAAGACGCTTGATTCATACTTCGAAAATATATTGAGGAGAAAAAACAAAATCAAACAGGGTACAAGGTATAAAAGTAATATGAGAGAGAGATGCCCAACAAAAAATTTCATCTAATTCTCTGGAAAAAATCCATGTCATCGTTCATGAAATAAACCGATCATTTGATCATTGCAAACGCAGAAAGTAAAGTAAATATTTTCACTCGCCATTGGCATCCTGCAAAATTGAAAACGAGTTCAGACAAAGAGTCAAAGGTCGAATGATACCCTTCAGGACCTGTCCTCTATCGAGCCGTTCGCTTAGGCCCGTTGAATTCAAATTGGCCTCATTCAACGAATGGAATAATTATTATTCTCTCTCAATACTATCGGCGCTTACAAGTACATAACACTAATTTGTTCTGTATCCAGGGATAGTGTGATTACGGTACTAGAGATAATCTCGCAGAATATCATGCGACATCGTGATTTTAGTTTAACGTATTCACATTTCTAGTTAGTTACCAATGTGGTACCAACTGTAGCCTAATCTGCCTAATAATCAACATAATTTGAGCCTATTAAAAATATATCAATGAAACATGTGATAATAACAATCCATCATGATGCAGTAACTTCCAAATAGCGAGTTCCTATAGTTGTATGAAATCTGAACAAGATAAATGCACTTATTGCATGTCTACAATAAATTTACGTAAGTCAAGGTATTTATTTCAGTATCACTGAAATATATCATAAAAACTGGTAAAAAACACGCTTTAATAGTCGGGCCCATTTATAATACAGGTAGGTACAATCATGAAACAATCGACATCGTTTCTAGTCACTTTCTATGGGTGATGCTATAATATTCTTGCACTATCTAAATATTTGAATCTAATGTCTTTATTTTTTTCTCAGTCCACTAGTGTCCACCAAAAATCGCCCGACAGTCATACAAATTAAAACCAAGAGAAAGTTACATTTCAAATGCGAAGTGTAAAACTGGTATTTTAGGATACTGTAGTGACTGTAGCTGATGTGAAATGTTCTGGACACCAGTATAAACAAGGCCTACCAGGTGACACAGGAAAAAATATGTTTGTACCTATGTTCAAAGTTGAAAGAATTAATTATGTTATTCTGATTCAAGATATAAACCCATGTGAAGATGTTGCCGTTTTTTTTTAAACTCAATTTTTTTGGAGTTCCGAGTAGATTCGATGGAGTTCTAGAGTTTCGTAGATGTAAATGGAAGAAATTAATTTTGAGCGATAACTTCACGCAGCTTAATTTTTTTCGAGAAAATTAGTTCTCATATATTTTTTGTTGTATTATAAAGAGTTCTGGAGTTCTAAACTTATTTTATCAATAGAAGATAGAAAACGAAAATGTGTTTCTATTGGTGAAATACTATTGCGTTCTCTCTCGTATTGAAGAAAAAGCAATCGACAAGAAAGAAAATATAAAATGTGAAGAAAATCAGCTGTTCAGTTCTTTGGAATTAATTTTTCATCGAGAATTTTAGTTATTCGAGGTCAGCACCTTATGACAACTGATAAATGGAAAGTTTCGATTTCTTCCAAAAACATGATGAAAATATTCTAAAGAACTCGTCGAGCGCTACTCCAGAGCTCCCATCAGAACTGTTCTGTTCTTTGGAATCAATTTTTCATCGAAATTGATAGTTTTTTGAGGTATGCACCTTATGACAGCTAATTATTTTTTCAGATTTTATTTTTTCTAAGGATTTCCTAATCTTTTCTCGATAGTTTTTTCTTCAATACGAAAGAGAACGGAATAATATTTCACCTAGAAATGCCGACTATTATAGAAACACATTTTCGTATTTCATTTTCTCAAATTATAGGAACTCTAGAACTCCATCAAATCTACTCGGAACCCAAAAAAAAAAGAGAGTTTTAGAAAAATCCGGAGCCAACTTCACATGAGTAGGATATATTTGAATAAAAAATCCCAGAGAGATAACAGTGTAATAACTTTAGGTATGTGGTGTTCAAGATTTCGTTATTTTCCGAATAGCATAGACTAGTGGCCCATATTATTTTTTTTCTGTTTAGGAGATAATGAGAATAACAGAATTACCGAGTAAAAGGGTTACTACAGACGTATAATGCTGTTAATGGATATCTCGTTTCACCAATTTCTTAAACTTAATGGAAAACTAATCATGAATGTAATGTCTAGCAAGGCATATACATGTATACTAAGTACCAACCTATCTAATCTGTTGTTTACTTGAGATATATATGACGCTTTCATTCAACACAACTCAATGGTGGAGAAGCAGAATGAGCTAAGTATTTTCACAATACCTATTTCATTATTTAATTCTACATCAGAAATGACGATACTTTCGATACTTTCCGTGTACAAAAAAATCGTTGAGATCATAAAAATGAAACTTTCGAGAGGAAGAAAATTCAAATTAGGTACATTATCAACCACCTACCTTTTCAACTACCTATTTATCTACTTATTGAAACAGTAAAATCTTATGTAGTAGATTTTTCTTTCGGTATTTCTTATGTTGCATAGGTGTTTTCTAAAAATGTTCTATGATTTGTTTACAATTTCTTTCCGCTCATATTTATTAATAGAACCGGCATCGTCAAATCTGTAAGAATGAAAACCTGTTGAATTTTAAACATTTTCTAGGTAGGTTATTTAGGTAACAACCTGCCTACATATTATTCGCACAAAGATGAACTACAATGATATAAGCAAATTTCTGTAAAAGGCGAAACTTAAGTAGGTACGTTTTCCCATTCATGTAAATAGAGTATACCTATCATTGATATAATTATTTCATAGGATAATTAATACTACGACTGTGCCATACTTATGCAATAAAAACTGTATATTTTGTTTTTTCTATTGGAATTCGTTAACCTCTGTTGGTTATATAAATAGTCCTATTTATTGTTTACGTTTATTTGTTTAGATTACCTATTTGATAACTTTACTATCACAATACAAATGCAGTCCTTACTGTCAAGGTAATCGTTAAAACATAACAAAATATCACGAGGTATAGTGACATCAAATGGGTTTACCACCCAATCTTATTATAGATCTACCAGATACATAATGATTTCCTGAAACCGAGACAATCATGACCTTCAGAAAAACTGGGAAAAACATGGAAAACTGAATGTTACATGAAATAAAATAAAACTGTTTGATCAACCAAGATCGCAAAAGTTATGGTGAACTCTCATTATAATCACTGCTTTGTAGCCTCGCTTGTAGCTGAAATGCTGAACCATCTTTGAAATCTATCAGACGTTTTCAACACAATCACCCCTGTATTTTTGTTCAAAAAGTGTGCATTAACTGCTAATATTGTGAAATGGACAAACTCATGACCACATACCTACCTATCGATGTTTTCTGAAAGTTAGAAACTGGTTTACCACCCTCTCATTGACCAGATAGTGAAATTATGTAAATGTTTTGAGGAAACTGAGTCAAGGGTGACATTTACCAGCAAGTGTTGCTAAACCAAGGACAGGTGGAAAAGTAAAATGTACAAAGCGGGAGTACGCAATAAGCGTGAAAGCGTAGGGGACTAGGTAAAGGGATTCATGTGGGATGTGGGTGGCAGAGGAAATGATAGTCACAATGCGAGGAATCAGCTGATTGCACAATAACAAAGTGTAAGGTAAACGATTGCCAACAAGTTCAAGGCCAAAGCAAAGCGAGGGGTATAGCGGGTATAGCGATAAAGATAATAAAACAAAAATCCGGATGGGTTTCTAGCTAGAGGAGACCACTAACGTGAGGGGAGGAAATGAAAAAACCGGGACACGTGGCCTCCTCCTGCCAAGCAGGTACAGTCTAGGAGGTGGCCTCGTGTACCAGGATGGATGATTCACACACAGCACAAAATATTCAGCAAATATTACAATTTTGCAAAATTGCAATTACATTTGCAGTCTTCTAGAAATGTTGCAGACAATTCCTATTTGTACATGGCAATTTCTATATTTAGAAATGATGCTGCAATGTTACTATTAATATTAGGGTCTATTGATGAATTACTAATGTTTAATTTGATGTCTGGCATATATAGTCAAATATCACATAGGTAGGGTTGTTCATTGATGCTTCTTGGATAAATCATACAATATTGTACATGCATTTTCAGAGAAATGTTGCAGCAACTTGACCTGACCTAAATGTCATTCATGACATTGAATACAGGATGAAGAATGAATACCTATATCAAGAGAGCAGAGAGCACATTGTTTATTGTTTTCACCAATATCACTCATTTAGTATTTTGGCATGATTAAATCACATGGTACATTTTAAATGGACTTCAAGATATATTTGCATTATTCCTGGAATGTTGCCCCAATGTTTTGCATTGAAACAAAAATCTGTCTGGACCATATCCCTGCAATATCTGCTGAACCAAAACATGTGCTGTATGGGTCATAGTCACTTACCGTCGGCTGCGTCCTGTACGCGGGGCCAGGCTGCGCCCCACTCGGAGGCGGCCCCTGTCCCCCCGGGGGCCCGCCAGGATACCCCTGCTGCAGGGGCTTCTGCGGCGGCCAGGGCTGCCCGTAGGGCTGCTCCGGGTGGCCGTAGCTGTTCGGGTACCGATGCGGCATGGAGTTGTTGCTCTGCAGCAGCTGGTTGAGGGTAGGAGTTGGCCCCGAGGGCGGCCCCGTCGCCACGAACCGCTGATGGGGCTGCGGGGGCAGCTGCTTGGGGGCCCCGAACGGCTGGCGCGGCCCGAACGCGTGAATGCCCCCCTCGGATGAGGGGGCCGAGAGGTCTCTGGAGTACTGATATCCGTAGGGGTGGCCGTCCGGGGCCGGCAGCGGAGGCGGCAGCCCCTCGCCGTGGTATTCTTGCGCGTTGCCGGGGGGCCCGGAGCCCGAAGACGGTTCGGAGTCGGTCTGCGCGTGAGGGGATTCGGACACGGAGGGGCCGGGTGCCCCCGTCGGGCCGCTCCCGGGCCCGTCCTGTCGGTATTGACTCATTTCCAGAGCGATATTTTGGTTTTTCGCCTTTGTATGCCCTACACTGCCACCTCCGCGAAAACCACTCTTATCGGTCCCATTTTGCAACAAGGAATTCCGCACGTTCAGATGCTGATCCGATTGCACTTTCTCACTATTCACGTCATTTTGTTGGTTTTCGGCCTGCGTTGCAGCCATGTTAAGAAAAACGGCTGCGATCTAGCACGGCCGATCGTTGCCAACACCCCGCCGTTATAGTCAACAACGGAAGCTTTTCTTCATTTCGGTCGCTCAATTTGCACCCCAGTCCTTTCAAACACATAATAGATTATTCACTAGGTCGTCCTCGATATGCTGAAAATAAGAAACGCCGCAAAACTTATCGAATTATCCCAAATAATAGGCACATCTGACACACAACTTAATTCCGTATCTACTCCAATAACACGAATGGAGGTTATGGCGGTTATGGGTAGAGGTCCGATTCCTACGCCAACGTTTTACCTCGTACTTCGGCCATTACTCGTATACTATGTTCCCATATCATCTTTCATTAAATTGGCCAACACTTCGCACAGCATTTCGGCATATTATTTTTCAATTTTCGCCACAGTTTCGCGAAAAATAAATTGAAATTTCTGAGAACTATTTATCCATCTGCTTGATATTACGCCACTGTGGCGCTGATTCGTGGCGGACAAATGCAATCGCGCGTATTTTTCACAGGAGGCCATGCCGGCGGGAAATTTGAATTCCTAAGCACTGCATTAAATTTATTTTATCTCGTCACATAAATCTCGAATATACGCCTATAATCTCTGCGCGTACTAACACAGTCAACAAGAAAATAAGTATAAAAGCTGGTTAATCAATAATCCTTGTGTCACCATCAATGAATTTACATGTGTTGGTTAATTATATCCTGAAATGTGGTCCTTGAAAAATACAATATTATCATCAGTGAAAGATTATAGCATGAACAAATTACTATACTAATGAGAATACTCATACAGTATAGCCCAGTGAAATAATAATATAACAGAGTATTTTTATCAAATGTGATTTCAGAGATGACCTTTGAGAGGAGTTTAAAAGATATTGTGGACGGTAAGTTGGAGAACAATATCCAAATAGTGAAATTTGTCTTTAACTGGCTCATAGAAAAATACCTCTGCAAGTGATCATTCATATTTTTTTGTGAAGTTAATTTCTCGAACATCCTGTTTACCCATAAGTGTGTTGAAGTAAAAAATATTATTGCTAACGTATCAAAATATTTATATTTTTAAATGACCTATATTCAGGTGAATGATTTTTGGTCATGAACTTGAATGAACATATGCAACCAGCACGTCACTGAATGTTTTGAAAAGACTTGGGAATAAATAAATAGGTGAACATGAATTAAAAGTTTTAATATCATAAAAACAATAAGCGATAAAAATCATTATGAATAACATGAATAATTAATAAATAAATAAAATTTGAAATTACCCAAAATGTAATTTTATAGGCTTTCAAGTAGGTATGAGCAATTCATGTAAAAAAATACAACATTTTGTACATAAAACATCATCAACAAGTGAAGTAAATTGTAAAATTGGCTATTAACACCTAGAAAAAAACAAAGCTTACGAAAATGAAATAAGATGAAAGGGTATATTATAAATAACATGAATTAATCAAATGGTTAGGGTGAAACTCAAGGGTATTCTTGAAATATACCAAAAACTAACTATATATCCATTCTGAAATATTATTCCTGAAAACATGACAAACATATGACATAATTTTAACTCAAGATTACGAGCTGAAAATGATTAATATCATATTAATGATATTGTCAAGGTTCACAGATTATTTCAAAATTCACTACAGAGATAAATTTATCTCTGTTCACTACAAGATATTAAAGGTAAACTTTTGAGGGTGAGGTATTTTCTATAAACAGGTGTACCCTCAAATGCACTTCCTATGAACTTCAACCACTCCTTAAATTAGGAACAATGATTTTCAAAATTTCCAGAGATTTAATTTATATATCTGTAGTCACCAAATAAAATTATCGACTTTTTTCAACACATTTTTTGATTTTGCTGTAGCTTTTAAGTGGTGCATTTTAGGATACAATATAAAAAACATTTATGGATTACCCTGTAGTATACATTAATGTAAAAATTTCAACGTTTTAGAGTAAAAAAATACTTTTATCATTTTGAAATTAGACTCTTAGGTTTGTATATTAATAATAGTATGATTTCAAGCACAAAAATGGTCACAGTATTATCTTCAAGACCTTTTTCAATCTGCTCCTACAAGTCTTCTGGCTATTTATGTTTTATACCAGAAAACAATAATACAATGTGAGTATACTCAATAAACTGAAGTTTACATTCATTATTTAGATCCCTTAAAACACTGATAAAATCAAATCAAATAGTGAATCAACTGAGAGTTTGATGGTCAACATTTTATCTGGGAAATTGAGATAGAGAGAATGTATGGAAATGTGCTAAATACTATTGGGAACCAAAATTTTTATAATTCAAATAGTTCCCGAAATACAATGTAATGTTTGATCACCTTGTTTTAAATTTTCAAAAGATTGTTGGCAAAAGAATCCTATAAAACACACCCTGTAATAATACTGAAACTATTCATCTCCCACTACCTCTCCATCAAACAAAAACTCCCAACACACTATAATCCAAATCATGAAGACCCAAACTCATTCATCCATCTCACATATTTATCCAAATCCTCTTTGCTAACACTCTTATTATTCTTCACCAAAGCTTCTTCAAAATCGGTCATTGTAACTGGAAGATCCAGCTCCTCCTTTGGCAGCTGTCTTATCTGATCGGGCCTCAAACCACAAATTTTCCTTCTCATTGACATCATTGAGGCGTCACGACAAACATTTGTGATATCAGCTCCTGAATACCCATCCAGTTTCCTGGCAATACCAGAAAGATTAATATCCGGGTCCAATTTGACCTCTCTCAAATTGATTTTCAGCAAGGCTTCCCGTCCCTCCAGCGTGGGCAATGGGATATAGATACGCTTCTCTAATCTACGTCGCAGTGCCTCGTCAATGTCCCATGGGAAGTTTGTTGCTGCAAGTACCATAACGACTTTACCAGGTTCGTCGTTGTTGGCAGTTATGCCGTCCATTTGGACGAGAAGCTCGGACTTGACTCTCCTAGAAGCTTCATGTTCCGACTCTGAGCCTCTTCGTGAGCACAAGGAATCAATTTCGTCTATGAATATTGTACTGGGAGCATAGAAACGCGCCTGAAAGTATGGAGAAGACAACATGAAATGAAGGCATTTTTAAAGAAAAACATTGATTGTTGATATTGTTAAATCATAAATTCACTCAAAGGTTAGTGCCATAAATAATGATAAAAACACGTTTTGCTCCGATAGTAATATAAAAATCTTCAGTAAGGATAACAAAGTTGATTTATAATAAAAGGCCAGTGGACTAATTCTTTTTTATTTCTTGAATAGAATCATCACTCAAATACCTTGCAATTTCTTTTTTTTGGGTTTTTCGGACGATTTTTAGTTGCTAAATTCATCATCGAACGGATAGCAATTTACCGCGAGTAAAAACTTTTACGATTTAGTAAGTAGGAGCAGACCATAGCACAGTCAGAGGGGCAGGGTGGGGCAGCTGCCCCCCCTACGTTTAACGCTCACCAGTCACCCTGCTATCATTGAAACGACTATTTCATTCATCACATAATCTGACCAATCACAAGCCAGAGAAAACGTGTGCTTATCGCGAAAACTAGATGTTTTCAACGATGTAACCATGGGTAGCGAAGCGAAGTCTGTCAATTTGGCAAAAAATAATGACTGTACTTGTCAGAATGGATCATTCATTCAAAATAAATGCTTCTTTGCTTCGTGAACGTGAAATAGTCTCCACTCTGTTCTGAATATATTCTCATAATTCTTCATTTCCTTGTCAAATCTATTGTGTTGCCGTACAGCCCTACCTTTCGTCCTGACTCGTGGTGTTGCTCAGCAACACAATTTCGTGAACAATGAGGCGACAGAATTATCCCGAATAATAAGAATATCGTGATATTACTTATGATAACGCTCACTTTGAGCAAAGAACTTCCGGAAGTATATTTTTCTCCTGAAGTTGAGAAGGCTCTGAAGATCCTTGTTGCCTTTACCTTGTAAGATTTGTACAGTTGAAAGGTCATTTAGTAGCCTTAGGAGAATCAAAACCTGGTTGAGGAGCACAATGTATGATGCTCGACTCAATGGCCTCGCAATGATGAGTATACACAGGCAACATATTTTCAAAAACTTGAACGATTTCGTCAAAAAGTGACCAACGAATTCCCAAAGAACCCTTGAAGATTATTTTTCAACTGATTTACTGTATAGATTTTGTTCTGTTTTTTGATTTTCTCATTAAACTCTTTTTGATTTTTCTCTTCAGTTTTTTTATGGTGCCCCCCCCTATTTTTTCCGCTGGCGACGCCCTTGAGCACAGTTGCCATTTGTTTAAATAGGATTGGGAACTCCAGACATATTATGGCGGATTTATGCAACATTTGCATAGTCCTAGTCTTAGTTCTAAGCATAGTCTTAGTATTAATTTTTGTCTTAAATATTCGAGGTATTTATCCAGAAACATTGAAACTTGATTCAATCAGAAGAGTGATGTGAGAATTTGTGGTTCTTTTTGCATCAGAGATGAGGAAAATTATCTATCAAACTTATCAACATCTGAGCTTTCTCATAATATTATTTTCGGAACATGTAAACAACAAATTATCAACAATTCTATCAGAGGAGCATGCGCCGAATCCACATAACATGAGCATAAAAGTTCGAATTAATCAACTTTCGAGGTCATTTCTTAGGCTTGTGCTTATGCTTAAGACTAAATTTGGTGTGTAAACGGCCTCATGCAAGTACCTTGTTTCAACTTCTAGTTATGCTTAAAATTATGACTAAGACTATGATTAGGACTATGCAAATGTTGCATAAATCCACCATTAGTTATTCAAACATTCATAAATTGCCAATTATGTATTGGTAATATTCCAATATAGCGATACAAAGTCAATTGTCTCAAAATGTTCACTTATGATTTGTGGCTTATTGCTTATATTTGTGTAAATAGTAATTATATTAATTCACAATAGAGAACATTTGAAGCGGTGAACGTGACAACATGGCGCGCCTGACTTGTGGGCGTGTTCTTGTCCCTTCCCAGCATTCAGCACAATGTTGCCAGGTCTCCAACATTTACATTATATTTTGTTATGGAGTGTAAGAAATATTTGGACATGCTAGTTGCTTGAGAAAGTCAAGAATAAACTATAATATCACAGGTCAACTTTGCATCTTGAGTGGAAATGGAAGATTATCTGACCAATAAGGAAACAGCATAAGAGCTGACGTCACCGTTTATTCGCCAAATGGTGGCCATGAGAGTACATTTGAAATGAGCTCTGAAAGTCAACAATTTCGAACAACACACACACACTTATTATTTACATAAAAAAAGCGTGAGGAGTGCTGCAAAAATTAATGTAGGTCCCTAATGACACAGTGGAGTAATTGAATGCCAATAATTCATTATTATAAGTCCTATGGCCCATTATACAGTCTACACTAAAATAGTTAGTACAACAGTTTTAGTTAGTAGAAAAAGAGCAGTACAAATTATCCCACAAAATAAAGAATACAAATTGAACAGACCTCATAACATAATTAGGTCTTAACTAATATACACCACCCCACAGAGAAATTAGGTTTGTCATAACTCAATATCTTTATTGTCTCAACAGGTTATCTCACCATTTCAAAAAGTAACCGGACCATTTTCTCTGATTCACCTCTGTATTTTGAGGTCAATGTTGAAGATGACACATTAAAGAAAGTAGTTCCACATTCAGTAGCCACAGCTTTGGCCAACATAGTCTTGCCTGTACCTGGAGGACCAACCATAAGTACTCCTTTCCATGGTCTTCTTATACCTGATAATTAATTGTGATAATGTTGGATGAATATCATTTATGATTCACATGTGATGTTTATTCCGGGGCACAAAATTCATTACCTTTGAAAAAATCTGGCATCCACATAGGTAATACAACAGCTTCTTCCAGCAGCCTCTTTGCTTCATGTAGATCAGCTATGTCATCCCAATGGATATTGGGATTTTTTTGAACAATATCCCTTTCCAGAGTGTCAGCTAATTCTCTTTCCATTCCATGACATTCAAATTTCTTCTCCTCTTCTGATTCACTTTTTACAGTTTTATCTGCATTTTCAGTATCTTTATTGTCCTTCTCAGGTTTGCTGTTTTCTAAATTTTTTTCAGATCTTGAAGAAGATGGTCTATCTTCCCTCTTAACTGGTTTTGTCATGCGGTTAACCTCAGATCTTCTTGATGTATTGGAAGAGCTTGCTCTTGTTGATGTTGTCTTCTTCAGATCCAACTTGCGCACATTTGAAGTTCTGGATTTATTAGGATTGATACTGAAAAATAAAATTATTTCAAAGAATTCTCTCTGTGGTTGGTAACATACCTATGGTCAACAGGGGTTGGTGGAGGCCAGACATCAGGATCTGTTGGAATGGATGAATCCAGACTGAGAATACCTCCAAAATCTCTCACAGGCTCATCCCTCCTCCTAGCACCAATTGGAACTTCTATGCTTGTTTCTAGCCTCAGTGTTTGCAGCATTGTTTTCATTACTTTGATCTGATCATACTCTGTATTCACAATTTTTTGAACCTTTAAAATTAGAATAGTATCAAAATGATTAAATTTGATACCCCCATTCCTTTTACCTGCTGCCATTTGTTTTTTCTTATTGGTTCTGGAATCATTGAAATGAGCCTGGTAATCATTTGTAGAGAGCCTTCATAATAAACTTCAGCATTTTCGTAATTACCAAGCATTCCCATTTCTCTCGCAAGTTTAATATTGTCGCATATTTCCTTGACTGTTACTGCCATCATCAAAACTTTTTGGGGGGGGCCTTCTAGTAGGCCTGCCGTGGGGCTGCCTCTACTTGTATGGGGAATGAGAGAATAAATAAAACAAAAGCTACAAACTACAAAGCACAAAAGCAAATCGAAAGGAGCACAAAATATATAATTTATATTTATAATATTATTAAGATATTTCAATTTTTAGTTTTCACTTTTCCTTCTGTTTTGACGGTTTGACACTTTGCTGACAGTAGTGACAGTTTTCAGAAAATAACAAACAAAAAATTCCGTCTTCTTCTTCTTCTTCTCTTATCTTCTTGCCACAATCTGTCTATATTACCACATTCACAATTTTCAGTGTTTCTTTAGCACTGAGATTCAGAGGTTCTATGGATTTGAGGTTTATTTCAGGCCTGTTCGTTTGTCCTTGCTCTACCTGCTGACTTTCTTTGTTACAACATGCCGTAAACAGAGACAGCTATGGGAAAAAAATCAACTAGCAAGTTTAGCAATACAAACGAACAGCAGGCCTATATCAATGATTTGACTTGTGTTGTGACTTGTGACATGTGACAATTCTGTTTCTGTTGGTTCCACGCACTCAACGTTCCCAGAAATTTTCAAGGTAGTTCTGCTCCATTCAAAAATATCTTGGAATATTTTTAAGCCAGATTTCATTCCAGAATTCCAGCAGTTTTTATGAAAATCAAGTGAAAATGGCTACGAAGGGGTTGTATTATACCCCACTCGGTACTGACGGGTCGGAATATGCTCACAGACAACGGGTGGCCAGTCATTATCAAATAAGGTAAAAATTATAACCTATAATTTATAATATTTCCTTGCCAACTACATTGAGTTAGTGCCAAGACCTTATTAGGCATTCCAGAACCCGTGACCTAAAAATGGCCGCTGTACCTGCCCCGTTTCCGTCCGTACTTCAAACGTCAAAAATTTACTTCCGCTTCCCCTAAATTGCGAGTTTTGAGGTTATGATCGTCACTGATTTTGTTTTTATTTTTTTGATATTGTAGATTTTATCACGAATAAAGTGAATATTTATTGAAATTATAAATTTCTGGTGGTCATAATATAGAGCGATACAAAGAGAAACTCAAAGTCAGTGATTCTATTGATCCCTATTCTCTGCAGAATAATGATGGAAACCCAGGCTCCGATGTTTCGTGGAGTCACTTCAATTTCAATAGATTCTCCTAGTTTTACTGCAGAGCAAACGAAAGCTCATGAAAGTTTGAGTGGGTATACATTTTCTGAGGCATGTTTTGTACAAATACCTATGTGGAGTGAAGAAAATCAGTGGCATATGTTTGTTGTTCTAGGCAGTCATACTATGAGTGGATAATTGGATAGTACCTGTTAAATATTCGATATTTTTGTAGGTGAAACATTTTCAAATGATGATTTTACCCTCACTCCTCACTGGAAGTCTGGGTATTGTGTAAAAGTGATCAAGGAATATATAGAGAGCCATTACACCTGCATGGCTGGGCTGTCAGAAGTTAGTAGTCATTTTGTTGCTTGTCTCTATAGCTTAACATGTATTCACAACTGCAGAACTGCCAAGTCAAATCCCATTTTCAGGCAAAATGGATGAAACCTAAACCTTCCAATGTTCCTCTTGCCAGTCTTAAAAATCTGAGAAAATCACACTAAAGTTAGAACATATTCAACCTATAGAAGGCAACAGCTCTAAGAAATATTGGAATCTTCAAGAGAAATTGACCTAGCAAATATTTGATATCCCTGCCATGCATAAGCAATTAATCATATTAATTCCTCAATAATTTTCACACAAAACAGGCATATTATAGTGAGTGTAGGTACTTTCCTCCTTTGATACCCTTTTACTTACAAGGACAACACCAATGCATATCACTGATTCCCTCCACTTTACCTATTTGTGCAAATCCTGTTTGAAAAATTTGTATCAGACTCCTGTAAGCTCTGATCTGCAAGGATTTAAACTATCATGATTCAACTCTAAATATCTAAAAATGTATACTGACCATAGTAACTCCAGAAAATATTTTGATGTTAGTCTTGCTCTGCAATATCACTACTGGATATTTATGTCAAAAATATTCACTTTATTCTTAACTACTAGACAAATATGAAAATTAACAAATAAGATATTGACACAATTCCCCCAAATATCTACACTATTGATGAAATCAATTATTCTTCAATTAAAAATTAAGCTATATTATAAATAGTTTCTTTCAACCTTATAATTCATTAAAACACTACATATTCATGCTTCATGATTTTATTCATCTTAACTATAGTTTTCTCAAACACATTTCAATGTAATACCTGTAATAATAATTATATAGTCAACAGAATGTGTTTCCAGAAAGTCCACCAAGTCATTTTTGTGAATTATCTTGAAAATTTTAATGTCTTGTTAAAGTTTGCTGTATTGACCAACAATTCATTGAAAAACAGATCAACCTTGTTCATCAATAATTCTTCTTGAATTTTCAATTTAGAAATTTTGACAATCATCACAGTTCAAAGTATCTATAGATATCATCATCACACAAAATACTTATTAATAATTACAAACATTTGCTATCATAATGAGTACCTATCATTCATACACAAAATATTTATCACATTAACTCAATATAACATAGTAATTCAGATTTTTTTAAACAATACTCATCAGTCTTATCACAAGGAATATTATTATCAACAATTTGATTATGAATTAACATATGAATCCACTGTTCATTGATGTTTCATGAAAAGTTCGTGAAAATTGACCAACCAAAAGTGTTGGCACAAAGAAAAATGTTGTACAACAATATAATAAATTTCAATCTTGTTCATTTGTGTTTTTGAAAAAAAAACTGAGTATTTCTTCTCCTGTGTTCCCAAATATCTACTACTTATCATTTATTATTTAGGTGAGTTGTGAGTGAGCAAACTAGTTTTGTTCAAAATTCCAAAATCAGGCATATCTAAATAGCAATTTTGCAAATGTAATCTTATCATTATTTACTCTGAAATGGTGACTTCAACATAAAATATTATATCTTTTTTTAAAATCATGATTAGCAGTTTGAAGTCACTATTTTCTCCAGGCTGAAAATAAAAAAAAATTAAGCCAATCCTGTTAATTTGAAATGTGGTGATTTTTTTGCACATAGAGGTTTGGAAGCATGAGGAACAATATGAAGTTAGTTTTTATGCCAAAATATTCCTGATATGATTTCATAAAAATCAAGATATTGAGGGGCCAGTTGAGGGATATAGAGGAAGGGGCTTTCAAAGTGAGATATGCTGTATATATTTGGTTCCTACTTATCGAAGATTTGTCTATATTGCATAACAACTCTATCACTATATATCTTCATCAATCAAGAACATAATATATTCAGTCCAATTGAACAATTGGGGGACATTTGTTGATATTTGCACAGCAAATTGTAATGATTTTGTGGAGAGTTGGATCATCACCACATTGTAAGTGAAATTGGCATGTTGATCAGCTAATATCCTGTACTTCTGTTTCATTGCACCAATAATTCACTCCCCATGAATTCTCACATTGGCATCAGTAGCTCTAGTTCCCACAATCTCAGTAGGATGTAATTGTTTCTTTCCTTTTGTAAAAGCTTGAATCTTCACTTGGGCATTCAAAATTTGTACATAGTCACCAACCAAAAAGACATGGTCACCTAAAATCAAATCACCTACAAATTGAATTTGTATTAATTGAAAGTTGGATAGATACTGTTTGAAATTCAGATGAGTTCAGGAAGATTGTTAGAACAGTAGACATACATAAATAGATTGAAAGTCAAGACAAGTGGAACATTTTCAACAGTGCATGCTGTTTAATAAAATTAGTTTTTCCATACATATAAAAGATTTCTATTAGCTTCTAGTCAATAAAACTAATTTAAAAAGTTTATTCTCTTTCAGTAATTCTGGATTTAATAAAGATTGGTATCAATTATATTCAACTGATCTTGTACAGAAACTCACCTGGAATAATATTATCTATTAATTTTGAATTGATTGTTATGGGATAATCAGATGCTCTTTCTCCACAAGCCTCACTGATCAAATACACTGTTTCTTGTGGGGAGAATCCTATCAAATTATAATTAGATCAGTACTAGGCTGACAGCTGTGATATTTGTTTGTGAATATTTATCACATTCAGGAACTATACTAAGGTTCTCATCTTGAAAATCTGATGATCCTACAGCCTATTCATTAGATGGCCCTGCAGCCTGTTTGAAATCAGATGGTCCTGCAGCCTCAGCTTGGCATTCTGATGTTTCCATATCATTGATAGTTTCCTTAGATTGGATGTCAGAGGCTAAGCTATCATATCCCAAAAATAAACTGGGAGCCCAGTTAGGATTATTAACATCTGATAGATATGCAGGTTTCCCTAAAATTTCCATTATACCTATTATATTTACTACTATTCATTACCTGTTTCAGTGAACTCACCAAGTAGGTAGGAAATGTTTGCTGCAAACTCTCAACATTTTGAGTTTCTGCTCCATCAAACCATTTCGATTTATCCACTTGTCTCTTCTTTTGATAATTCATTGTTCCAATTTAAGTCTAAATTTCAAGACACTCAAGATTCGATGAAACTTCATGCTATCACGATATTACCGACTCTTACAATTGATTATTCCACAATAAAACATTGTTATAACACAAACACCAAGCAAAACCTATCCAAATAGTGTCCAGAATACACCACAGGAATACACATCAACTATTCAATAATTTTCATAAAGATCATACAATCCTAATAAAACTAAGTATATAAAGTTCAATTATCAACTAAAGAAGCGAAGAAAGCAGCATTTTACACATTTTAAATTCAATTGAAAATATGGTTAAAAAAGTCACGGAATGACAGCTATTTGTTTGGGTACAGCAACCATCTTGAATCTGATTTTGACAGCATTCCGAAATACCTAATAAAAATCAAATACCATTTACAATAGATGCTAATCACCTTTTGTTTTAGCGCTCTAAATAAATCAAGACTCAAATACTGTATATTCTTTCATTATCTGCTGTTTTTTGCAATGTTGGCGAAGCTCTCTGCTGATATATTAGATAAACTAGACATATTTATATTAGAAATTGAAGAACTTGACATTCCTAAGGTGAGATCATCTCAACTTTCGATATACCATGCTTTGGACTATTTTTATTTGTAGCCATTATGGTGGGAATACATATGGTGCATCAGTCTTCTGTTATCATTCTTAGGTTTGGATGCAATTAAGAAGAACAGAGTTGCCCCCATGAGAAACTATATGATGGGCCTTACAATATTTGGTTTCCTGCCACTACTTTATGCTGTAATATATTACTTTCCAGATGTGTGGACATATCTGACATTTGAGGAAGAGGAGGAACTAGAAGAAATCCACCTATGGCAGGTATGATACGGAAATGAAAATTGATGCAAGTTCATATAAAGTTTCATTTCATTTCAGGGTTACCCCTATGGAATGTTGTGTTATGCATTTATACTCTTAGCCATTCAAGTTCACTTATTTTCCATGTATTTTGCATGGAACCTATTGACAGCATGGAAACCCAAAGGTACCAAAAAATTTGAGTGAAAGTGTAAAGAAAGTATTTTTGGAACACAAAATACCTATATGTTTTTGTTATCTATTAGATATACACAGAAGTCAACTGAGGATTTAGATATTTGGATTTCCAGAAATAAATGTTCATGTTTTGTAGGTAATATACTGTTTCTATTCACAAATTCAAAAATTATCTACAAGTATAACAGTTACTTCCAATAATATTTTTGTCAAAACTGAGTAGGTATACTTCCAACTGACAGAAATGAGTTACCATGTTATTTATTTTTTGTCTGTGTAGTTCCTTTCTTTTGATCATTACAAAATGACTTTGAATATATCAAAGTAACCCTTATTTTTCATGCCTATTGGCAATAAACTTTCCTCTCTCAAACTCCTAAGTGTTCATTTAATTATTTTGGAAAATATATACATCTGTTCCTCCCAAAATGTATTTTTTGTATGCAGTGAACTTTACTATTGTATACTTAAAATATGTATACCACACTTCAGAGATATTTATTAAATCTTGTTTTCCATAATGATGTCTTTTAGTTCTGATACATATTGGGTAGTTACAGATTTATTGGTATTAATGACATTCTTGTTTATATTTAATAAAATAAGTAACTGTTCTTGATATGCAACATAGGTTGAAATCCTTGACAAATAAGAAGACACTACTGGAAAGTTGTTTTTATGTCAAAATATTGGTACATTTCATATTTATTTCATAAGCTGTTCCTCATCTTATTAATTTGGTCAGCCTATTATTATCATTCCTACACTATATACAGGTATATTTCTGACATAATTCACTTATGTACTTACTACTCCCACTGTGATTTATTTAGTGTTATGTTTATGTTAAATTCCAGCAAGGAAAAAATAAACCTACCATTGCAACATATAAGCATAGGTAAGAACAGAAAAAAATAATAGTTATGGATAAGCGTGTGGATATAAAATATAAGATTTTTTAAAAACAGAAAATTTAGAAAGTACAAGGAAATACCAATTCATCAATTATAAGTTGCCATCGGAAATAAGCAGTAAAAGACCACCATCATGCTCACTAAACACTTGATTGCTTGAAAAACGACTTCTTAATTGGCAATTCCAGTAGTTGATTGAAATAGTCCATTATAGACAGCAGTTTATGATTGGTATATGGGACTCACAATCATAAAGCAGTTTAAATACGACCACCTTGGAAACACATAGGCGGATTCTTATATACATATACAAACACCATATGATTTCATTAAAAAAATTTCACAGGATATTTCCATATGATAACCCACATTTCACAATTCCCGCGAAAAACATTTTGGTTTTATTTCTCGTCCCATCAGAATGTGTATTCAATTATTGCAATTCGTCAAAAAAGGTAAAAAGTCCCGTGTTGAATATGCGTCACATGTGACATTGATCTATAGATAACACCGAAAAAAATAAAAGGGTGATTCTGTGATGGAAATCAAGGTGGGCATTATGATTTTTTTTTCAAACCTTTTCTCGGAGCAGTTTATACTCCTCCGAAGATTGAAAAAAAAAATGGTTATTTAAATTCACTAAACTAGGTTAATACTATTTTGTCAATAAAACTACACATTTTGGAATGTTTTCAGCCCTGAAATATGCTGAGAAAGCGATTGAAATAGTCAAACCTGAGATATTTTTTCTAAAAACTTTTTTTTCATGAATTTTTTTCTTAAAAATATCATGGCTGTAAAGCCCTATTCTATTACACTACACTGTTTTACCACTAACCAAACCGATTTTTTAACGCCTCGACACGTGTTTCGCTAACTATGTTAGCATCTTCAGGAGAAGATTAAAACTCTTTTTAGTTTTAATCTTCTCCTGAAGATACTAACATAGCGAAACACGTGTCGAGGCGTTAAAAAATCGGTTTGGTTAGTGGTAAAACAGTGTAGTGTATTATCGTGCCAAAGGTTCCAGTATTCGATATACCCTATTTTATTATTTACTCAGTTTTTCATCTCTACAAGTTTTTTATAGAACTAGCATTTACGAGAAAATAAAAAAGAAAACAATGTTTCAAATTCTTCAGCGGGGTGTATCTTTTCATTCAGAAAATTTTCAGATTTTTGTTGGGTGACAGAGAGAATGCAGTGAAGCCAACATCCTTTTCATTGCTATCAAACAATATTCTTAGTTTGCTTACAACTCGCCGACACAAACTACATAATTTTGGATACAAATACTAGTAACTGATTATGATTATGATGGAGATGCGTACTGAAGGATAGATAATATATTATATGTCATCAAATGTCAGTGGTGTTTATTATCACACCATATGTTTGGGGACATTTTTTTACGTGTATCATCACCAAATTTGAATGAATTTCGACGTAGGTCCGACGTCACAGTTTGGTGAGTGAATGACGTCAAAAAACGTGAGTAATATGACGTCATTGGACTGTGACTTATTCACGTCATTCATCACGTCATACGACGTCAACTCCTGACGTCACTTTAGTTTGGTCATCCAACTGACGTAAAAAGAGTTATTACTAGAATATTGCATTATTGTTATTGTCAACTCCTTACTCCAACACTCTGATGTATTTCGAAAGTGAAGAGCTTTTTCGTAAACATGTCTAAGAATCATTTTTGGTTTGTTTTGAAGTAGGTATATATATATATACTTTATTGTTGTTGAAATTGAAATAGCAATATCTGGGACACAGTGTACATTTAGAAAAAAATATATCTATACGACCTTCTATACTGTTATTCTGGTCTTTGGAAAAATATAATAGTTATAGGAATATTTCAGAGAAATTGATATGTAAATGTTCCAAAAGAAATTATTGATATAGGTATAATATTATTAATAATAACAAATAATTATTATTTTTTAATGCGGTCGACTCCAATAATGAGTTAAAATCTAGCTCACTTATATTATTTTTTTATGAAATTGAAAAGTGGGAGAACATGAAAGGGAAGCAATGTAAGTAAAATCATATGATTGTATTTTTAAATGTCAGAGATAAAATGGACATCTGCCTCTAGATGTCTAGCATTGTGTAGATATCTTGACGAGAAAGAATTATTTTCTTTATTATAACATTTCAGTCGGAGCAATATGGTAAATAATTCATGTTTAATGAAAACAATTTACAATTTCAGATAAGACAAGCCGTGTTTGCGTAATTTTTCGAAACCAGCGACGTTATAGCCGACGTTATAGCGCTCAAATAGGTAATACTGGAATACAATAGAAGATAGAAGAGTGAAATATATATACCACGAATGCAGCAATTAAATGATTGTGGCCTTCGTATATGATACGGCATGTGTTCGATCCAGTATCGTCGTGATTTGTCCAAAAGCCAGACAGCTGTTTTCGCATTATGAAAACAATATTAATTTGTGAATATAGTTGGCATAGTTCATAGTGGCGCGTTTTATCGGGAGCACTAAGCTTTTTTGCCGCCAGTGACAATGATAAGTTTTTATTTGTAAATCAGCTGTTCGAACACAAGTCACAAGTGTGCGAGTATCACTCTTGCAGTGTCTTCTGATTGTTGGAGTGCTGAATTCGAGATGACCAGCGAACAAGATACGGAAAATGGGCCTAGCGAGCCATTGTTATACAAGGCGGAAAAAACAGGGACTTTGTCCCCAGTCAAGCCAGGATGTGATAAAACGCAGCCAGCAGTCAAAAGGAATAAAAGTAAGTGGCATTTTTTAACTGCCTACCGGAAAAACTTGTTCGACCATCATTTTTTATCAGGTTCCGATCACATGTGCCAGATGAAATTCGTAACCACTATATTATATTAGCTGTATTTTATTTCAACAACAAAACAAACTATTTGGAAAGATTTTGTTATGCAAATTCTAAAACCACATATTTCCAAGAAATGTTATTCGAAATGTGCTAACACCATTCCGTTATTGAACAATACCTAAACGTATTATTTTTAATGATAGGTTTTTCCGAAAATAATATCAATGATCATAACAATTTCCTGGTTACATTTTTTCCTGAATGGTGATAGTTTTATTATTGCCATCCATTATAAATTATAAAAGTGTATATGTTAGTATGTTGTGAACGGAAAACTACTGATGAAAATACAGGGTGTAATTCAATATTGATGGCTAAAAATATAGGATATGGTTCCTTGGCTAATTTTAAGAAGACAAGTTCATATGAACATATTGGGACATATGTTCACCTTTGAGCTATAGGGTGTTGAAATTTTAAGATAAATATTGGTTTTCTTATCATAACTTCAATACTAGCTGTTCGAGATATTTTCAAAAAATTGTACATGCACCTACTATAAGCACCAATGAATATATTTTGATGCAGGAGATTTTTTGATATTTCTACCAGTGGCGTCCGTGTTGGATGAATACTGGAAATTTTTCTGAAAAAATATTGTCCGACCTCGAATTTTTCGAAAAACAAAAATCATTTTTAAAGTCCTCATTCACTTTGCAACAATTTGACCTCTGAAAATGTTTCCGTCCGCCGCACTGTTTTCGCGTGAAAAAATAAAAACCATTCTCGTGTATTTGTGGCATAACAAAATTATTTTGGACTAGTAGGCTGGTGCCCTATTTTGTATTCAAAATAATGACGTTTGATCGAATACGTTACGGTCTTACTTTGACAAGTATTCATCAACGTGACAGTTTTTTACATTAAGAAATATTCAATATCGATAATAAAAAAAATTAACACCCTATATCTCGAAAGTTGAGAGGTTTAGGGTTTAGGGCATATGTTCATATAGACTTTTCTTGTTAACATAAGCTAAGGAACCATTTCTTATATTTTCAGTCATCAATTGAATTACACCGTAAAGGTTGTCCTGCTGTGTTCAGAATAATGAAATTTATACCTATCTACTAACGGAGATCTACACTACCTAGCAACCTTTTTCAACACACCAATCTACCTCTCAACTACTTTAGTTTATGGACCTTTGGCTAATTATGCTGTATCTTTGGTGCATTTATTAGGGTTGGTTCGTGGTTCTCTGAGGGTGAAGATGATTGTGGTGATTGTGTGTGAAACATTCCTAAACCACCTTTCCAAATTCGAAGTTCGATAAATTAATTTTTCGTTCCTTGAAGCCCGCTTCGATTGTAAACAATCTCGTATTTCCAACTATTAATTTTTTAATAATGTTCTACTCAAAAAGTCCTATTAGTTATATATGGTCTATGAATTGAGTTTGATTTCCTGCTGTGACAAAAATCGCTCCACAAAAAGCAGGAAACTTTATTAGGCCTTATTTTGTTATGAAAACTGAATGCATATTCTATTTGCTCATGTTTCAAATTCTGTATACGCGCGGAATTTCTTCAGATTGTACAGAGTGTGCCAGTGTGGTATAAATCCAGCACCTTTGAAGAGAACATCAGTCCTATTGAATAGTCCTTTGAAGAGAATATAGTCCTATAGATTGAACTGATGGTAAATTTCTATGAGAAACTGAATAATGAAAACTGACTATCGATATCAGTATCATCGTTTGAACTACAAGATGTCTTTCAAATATATCTGCATTTTTGAAATTAAGATTTTATTTTTTTTTATCTAGAGTTATGCACCTCTATCTATGACGCGACTAAAAACGTCACTACTCATAGCAAGCAATTATTTAATAATAATTGTTTTCAAAAATTAAACTTCAATACAATGGAAAATTTGTTGATCGCTCGATACCATACGAGAGATATTCATATGGCAAGAATAATAATAATAATTATTAGGTATAATTATTATGGTATTTCATCGACTTTTACGAGGGAGGCAAGAAAGTCCCGAAACATAATTGTACCCCTCGGATCACCCAATTATGGAAGTACAGGGTGATAATGGTTTCAAAATTTCCATATTCGCCATTCAACCCCCTCGGTTTTGTACCATAGATCGTAAATTCACAAAATTGAAATTACTGGAAAATTTTCATTATCCTCTTATTCTTCATTATTTCTTCCTGTGAATCAATTATTTTTGAGTATGGATCGAGATATAGTTAAAATATATATATAAGTATTCATTATAAATAACAAAAGAGAATTTTATTTATAATAATATTATCAGAAGAATACTATAGGTAGCGAGCTAGGTAGAGGTATAGGAATAGGTAGTTGAGTTCAGTTGAAATATTGCTTCGTCAACAAATGGACACCATAGATCTGTGTGGACACATTCTTCTTTCAAACCTCAATAAAAAATGATTCAAATGCGAATTAAATAATCAAGTAGGTGATGAAAATACCAATAATAATAATATTAATTGATATATAGTACTTAGCACATTTTTTTGCATCAGCATTTTTGTATAGTGGAGTCAAAATCAGTAGCGTAACTACCGAAATTATAATTCTTTTAAACACTACTATAAAACTGATTTTCAAAAAGTCAATGATAGGTTGACGCTGGAATTTGTTGGATAATATTTGCAATTCAGTATCACTCAACTTCTAATTCCAATAGTTCAGTTTTTTTTTATCTTTTAGAAGTAAACAATGTGGAGAGTTCATTGAATGCCAACTGACGACATTGTGTATTTATATATTATGTATACACTCATCATGGCATCATGCCTCTCCCTTACAAAACCTAGACAGCCTAGACTCAAGATAATAAATGTGAACGATATAAAAACATCTTACACACATCTTTTATGAGGTGAAAAAAATACTCACCTATGTTTGAAAAACGATTAGTTTACCGTAACAACAAAGTTATTATCATCATACACCTTGTTTTGCGGAAATCACTTCAACTGTGATCTTATAATTTTCAACTCAACAAAAATGTGTTTTCAATGATCCACACTTAATTGTTCATTATTCATGTGTATACCGCAATAGCTCGAGAATGAATGGAAACATTTAAATTTATCAAAATTGTCATTAGGTAGCGTTCTCTTTCAAATTTTCTACTTGAGCCAAAATAAGCCTTACTATTTATGGATTCCATATAAAAGGTCAGTTATAATTCTTAATTTTTTTACCACGATTTTCATAACTTGATATACGTTGGTATATAATAATATGTATGTTTTTGAGGTAATATATTTGCATTTGTATGAACGGCATCTTCGAACGTGATTTTGGCCCACTTCAACACGTCAAATTGAATTGAAACTTCGTACTCTTATAAAAGACCTCCAAGGTTCCTCCACCAAAATTTCGAATGTTACGCCACCAACATTTCAAATGTTCCGTCACCAAAATATCAAATGTACGTTTTTATACCTTCGAATAACTTCTTACAATGTTTTTTATATCCAGAGACACGTGTCTTGCGCCAATTACTCCTATGAATAGTTACATTTAGAGATACTAGTGATTTTAATTGACCCACTTCTTCGCACTCCTATCAAGGACCGATGGCAATAGCATCTTATTTCCACCACGGATTCGTTCATAACGACATCGAATTAGTCTATGTGAATTTCTTCAGATTTTTAATAGGCCAAATAAAAATTTCCATTTTCCCACCTGAGATTTATTCAGTACGATATAGTCACCGAGCCATCTTCGGACGGCCGAAAGTGCCAGAAAACGGAAGTAATTCACGCGAATTATCACTTTTCAAGAATAAAATGACACGCTGAATCGAATGAGACCATAATCAGCCCCATAGGACAGATAGTTTTTGAGATATCGGCGCTCAAAGTCAGCTTTTCGCTTGTATTGCCAAAAGGAGCACTCCAGTAGGCTACTACGTCTCCATTTCTCAAAATTTCACGATTTCCACCACAGATTTGTTTATTACGACATTGAATTAGTCTATGTGAATTTTTTCAGATTTTTAATAGGCCAAATAAAAATTTTCATTTTCCCACCTGAGACTTCAGTACGATATAGTCACCGAGCCATCTTCGGACGGCCGAAAGTGCCAGAAAACGGCGGAAATTCACGCGAATTATCGCCTTTCCAGTAGAAAATGACACGCTGAATCGAATGAGGCCATAATCAGCCCCATAGGACGGATAGTTTTTGAGATATCGGCGCTCAAAGTCAGCTTTTCGCTTGTATTGCCAAAAGGAGCACTCCAGTAGGCTACTACGTCTCCATTTCTCAAAATTTCACGATTTCCTCCACAGATTTGTTTATTACGACATTGAATTAGTCTATGTGAATTTTTTCAGATTTTTAATAGGCCAAATGAAAATTTTCATTTTCCCACCTGAGACTTCAGTACGATATAGTCACCGAGCCATCTTCGGACGGCCGAAAGTGCCAGAAAACGGCGGAAATTCACGCGAATTATCGCCTTTTCAGTAGAAAATGACACGCTGAATCGAATGAGACCATAATCAGCCCAATAGGACAGATAGTTTTTGAGATATCGGCGCTCAAAGTCAGCTTTATGCTGTTATTGCCGAAAGGAGCACTCCAGTAGGCTACTACGTCTCCATTTCTCAAAATTTCACGATTTCCACCACAGATTTGTTTATTACGACATTGAATTAGTCTATGTGAATTTTTTCAGATTTTTAATAGGCCAAATAAAAATTTTCATTTTCCCACCTGAGACTTCAGTACGATATAGTCACCGAGCCATCTTCGGACGGCCGAAAGTGCCAGAAAACGGCGGAAATTCACGCGAATTATCGCCTTTCCAGTAGAAAATGACACGCTGAATCGAATGAGACCATAATCAGCCCCATAGGACAGATAGTTTTTGAGATATCG